GGTAGCACCTGGCAGTTCCAGTGCTGCAGTATCAGCAAGTAATGAGACGCGTAGGGAAGAAGCTAATCCATCACCAAATTCAGGTGAGGTATTGCAGCTGCTGAATATTTCATGGTCTTAAAGAAAAAAAATGAATTAAGGATTTGTATAAGTTTGGTGTCACTGAAAATCGCTGTCTTTCCTCTGGAAGTCATAGAGATGGTGTTTCCATTTCCTCTAGTGGTCCTAGTTTTCAAAATAGTGCTGGTGACTTCAGGAGCATTAGCCAGTATTTCTTGGAGAGTGACAACACTGATGAAATGGGGAAGAGATAACAGGGTGTATTAGATACCTGAAGCTTCTCAGTGGTTTGAAAACGCATGTGTAGTACATTGCCTATAAAGAACATGTGACAGTGGGAACTAGCTTGAACTGAAAAGATCTCCCTTCCAAAAAATGGAACTACAGCTCCGTTGTGATAAGAATAGGGGTTTTCTAGCAATAGTGTGCTAGAAGACTAGCCTGTACAGTCACTAATTGTAGTAAATCAGCATGCCAGAAGGCACCAGTGTGAAACCGAAAAGTTGCTAAGTGCTAATTTACGGAAAAAAGCATAGGCTAAAGTGCAGCGTAACGTTTTTGTAACATCTGTCCCTTCTGTTTCCAGGAGGGGGAGTCAGCAAGCAGAAGCTAATTGGCAAGTCAAATAGTAGGAAGTCTAAGTCTCCGATTCCTGGACAGGGATATTTGGGAACTGAAAGACCTTCTTCTGTCTCATCTGTGCATTCAGAAGGGGACTACCACAGACAGACCCCAGTGTGGGCCTGGGAAGATAGGCCTTCATCAACAGGTGAGAAATGGGTTGCTTTTAAACTCAACAAACCAGATACGATATTTGTAGAAAGGTCAGATGTAGACATACTGTAACACTGGTATATTGGTCAAAAGATTACAGCATATAAGGATTTTCTGAAACAGATTTTCTGCTAGTTTTCACAACCAAAACCAGACTATCTTTCAGATACAGATCTCTTGGAACAGCTCATGTTTTTAACTTTGAGAAACTCTCTTTGATTCAGGTTCAACACAGTTCCCTTACAACCCATTGACGATGAGGATGCTCAGCAGTACACCGCCAACATCCATTGCGTGTGCCCCACCGTCCATAAGCCAAGCAACCACTCACCAACAGAACAGGATATGGGAGCGAGAGCCTGCACCACTGCTTTCAGCACAATATGAGACTCTGTCTGACAGTGATGACTGAACTATGCAGATTTTTTTTTTTTTTTAACTTGCGGGTCAAAAAAAGAAATCTATTTTTGACTTGTGCCCACAGAGACTTTCCAAGAGAGCAAGGGCCACACAATGAAGAATTAATGGAGAGTCCATTAAATGCCTTCTGCACAGGCCATGTGTTGGAGGATCGTGATCAAGAAGGTTGACTTACTAAAGATAAATATGTAAAGAGTTTTTAAAAATGTGGACTATTCCTGTTCTACATCTATTTGTAAAGAAAACCATAATGTCTTTAATTCATTCTTCTGTAAATAGAGAGTACTTTTTGCAGTGTTTTTTCCCTTGCTATAGTATCTGGTGTACTTATGTTCAAATCATTGCCTAAACTTTGGGGGTCATTTTGTAATTTTTTTTTAAGCATTTTCTCCAGTGTAGAGTACTCTTCATAACTCTAGCCTCCCTACCAGCCTAGCCTAACCATAACCCTAGCCTCCCAACCAGCCTAGCATCATTACCCATTTAATGCCGTGCCACTTCTTGCAGGCATTGTGCTTTATATATTTTTTTTTTCCCTAGACACACTTCCTCAGTGGTGTTCAAGCTCTTGTGAAAATGTTGATTTTTAAGACTGACCCCTTAATGAATTCTGTACATTAACATAGTCCAGTTTGCTGGAATAAGATGATATATTTCTTTGAATTTTAAATTCTGCCACATTGTACATTTTTGGTGCAGTTGGTTTTATTTAGCAACACTGCAGAAATATTATTGCATGGGTATGTTATGGTTCATTTTGAAAAGGAAACAAACAAACAAACAAAAAGAACAGCTTCTGGAGGCATACCTCACTGTTATGCACACTGGGAATTTTAACTGTGCCCCAAAAGCCTATCTTAGTGTTTTCTGTTTCTGCATTGTATGCAGTCAAAACAGGCTACTAAATTTTACTGTCATATTTAACCACAGCAAATGGCTGATCTGAACAGAGGCTCTGGGTGGGTTGATAAATCCTTTAAGAAGAAAAACCTCTACATCCCAAGTTTAAATAAAACAAAATGCTTTTATAGAATAATTGAGCAACACATGAGTCAACTACTTGGCTTCTGTTACAACCCGTTTGAAATAGGTACTGTGATTTTTACCTTCCTGCAGTCTGATTTTAAAATCGTTATGTAATAATTATTTTAAAGTCTGCATCCCAATCCCTAGCCCTATAAGCAAGCTTTTGGTGGAAGTCTTTACAAATGCTTGGCTTAACTCCTAAAAAGTGTGCAATACTTAAGGTGATTTTTTTTTTTTAAATTGTATATGGTACTAGGAGAGCCTCCTTAATCTTTCATTTATCAATGCCTGCTATGATGTGCTTGTAGCTCATGTATACATACATCTGGTTAGTGATATCACAGGGTGTCCTGACATCCGTCTTCAAGAGCATCTTATTTTTTGCTGCACTGACCTCAGGAAGTGAATTTAAATATTCTGGGGTAGGAGGACTGATTTACAGATAGCACTGAGTTGGGGGGTGGCATGGTCTGTCAGATTCCAAACTGCTTTTGCATCTCATTGATGAACAGAGTCTTTGCCTTGAAGTTATTTTCCAGTCAAAATATTTTTAATTTAACACTGTATTTGCAATACATTGTATGGAAGGTATCATGTAGCTGTGTAACCATAAGCCATGTAAGCTCTGCATCTTATGGAAGGACTGTAATGATCCTGTTACAAACAGGAAGAAGTACAGAACTATTTATTGATAGCAAATTTACTTTGAGTACTTCAGAGGAAAGCCTTTTTGCCCTAAGTGTGGGAAACAAAAAAATCCAAAGGAACTCATTTGGAACCTTGACACTGCATTGCAAATACAGAATTATTTTGCTATTTTTTTTTAAACACTGCATCAGAGTAGATCAGTTGGCAGTCTTAAATCTCCTTGCAGTCTTTCTCTAAGAAAGATTTTTCTTGCCCTCCCATCCTTCTGGCTTAAAGTAGTGAATTTTTCATCCTGTCTGTAGACCTGTGCTCTTATTTTAACTTTTTTGTTCCCACAGCAACATATACTGGAAAATAAGTTGATCTGACCTTTTTGTAAATTTAAATTTGGAGTGGAGAGTTAAGTTCCACTCTAAAACTCACTTTTTCTCACTTTCCTAGTGTAACAAATACAACGTGAGAGGCATGTACAGACAAATGTCTTTGCTAACTGTACAGTAAGTATAGCATGTTCATTGCAAAGCTTCATGTTATTGCTGCTGCAGCAGCACGATATCCAAAGTAGGATAGCCAGTTTCTCCTAAGATACAGCTTGAGTGGCATTTGCACATAAGATGTTGCTGCTTTTTTTGTTTGTTATCAGAGTTCTAACTTCTCCAGTGTAAAAAAAACCTCTCCAGAGCCTAAGTTAGGGTTTACCACAATTCCAGTAATCTTCAAGTATGGAATTACATCTGACCTGTTTCAAACAGGAAGGTGTTTGTAAATCATGTTTACAAAGTGTAGTTTACTACAAATTTTTAACTGATTTCTGATCAGCGCTTTCACAATGCTTTCATCTTGATATGTTTCGTGATTCTGATATGAAATCATTTAAGACTTGAAAAACCCATGCATCATAAAACTCAACTTTTTTTTTTCCACAAAATGTCTTCAGTAGACAGTGACTTCTGGATTCAGACCAATCAATAAAGGGGATCAGTTCTCCATTTGCTTTTCCTGTGTCTCCCTCTTGTTTTGCAGCATCAAGCTATGTTAATGAGAACAGGCAAAACACTTCCCTGAAGGAGTGCTGCAGGGTTCCCAGTTAACACTGCTGGAGTGTCTAAGGTCTGCCACTTAAAAACAAAAAACCCAGGACTTTAAAGAAGAGTGGCTCTAATGTGTTAGAGCCTTTCTGTTAGTACAAGCGTGCCTGTAACAGCTATATTTTTACTTCCTAGCTTGCTGAGAACAAAGCTGTATACGTGACTTGAGTTTTTCCAGCTTCAATGAACATCTACTCTAGAAAACCTGCATGCCTCTTCTTAGCTCAAAGTTAAGCAGAGTTGAAGCCACTAATGCTACTGTAAGTAAACTAATAGTGATGCAATTAAGGGATATACCAAACAGCTGAAGTTCTTAAAAATGAGAAGTTAAAATAATGCTTGGTTAGTGACAGAATTACAGTTAGTTCTACTATCCTAGCTAAATATGGATTTGATAACTTATGGTTTAATTCTCCTTTGTCTTTAACAGTAGGCTTCCCTACAGGGAAGAACTGAAAAATTCTGTTGTATAACCAGGCTGTTCTTACTAGATTCACATGAAGGCATGTACCTTACAAACCTGATGGTATGTACATACCGTCTTTTCCAAGAGGAAGCCTCAGCATTCTAGCACTGACCTATCCAAGAAAGGAGGACAGCTTTGGCACTTGGCGTGCTCTTGACTGGAGTAAGGTAGCCAAGTTTTATTTCTGACAGCAGCTCTGCTTTGGTAAGATAGTCTCACCCCTCCTCTGAGAGGGCATGTTCTATCTTTGGATGCTAAATGCTTTGAAGAAAAACACTTGATCTTCAGACAACCTGTTAGAAAAGGACAGGGACCTACAGCTCTGTCATAGTATGGGTGTAGTCTGGGAAATGCTCTGTTGAAGTTAATACATACTGAACGGTAGCACTGACACAACTATACTCCTTAACTGCAAGTATTAATATCAGGCTAGACTTGCACTTTGCTGGCAATCAAGACAAAGTTAAATCACTAGCACCACAGGTCACTCTAACCATAGACTACACAAATTTACATAATTAAAATTTCACAACTTTATTTTGGGCTCAATTGTTAGGCAATAGCAGCCCTTCTTAAGCAGTCCTTAAACTCCTCATAGCTGTGCCCATGGAGAATTGCACCAGGCTGGTCCCAGGCTGCTTGTACTGACCAACCCTTGCTGCTGTCAGCCACCTCAAGGTTGAACTCTGGCCAAACTCATTTGGAGCCCTTTTTCCTCTTGGCTAGCTCAGCTAGTTCTTCCTGGATATGCTGGACAGAGGCAACATCTCCCTTCTGTTGTGCCTGCTTGAGAGCTTCTTTGTACACTTGTTTTGCTTGCAGAAAGTCTTCTGTAGCAAGAGGAAAAAGTGGCATGGCTAGCCAACTACATCGCCCATTTTCAGAGTCCTCTCCTGAGGCTGAGCACATGCAAAGGACATGCAAACGACCACTTGGAACACTTCAAGAACTAGGAAGGTTCAGCAAACATCCAGCATAGGGTGCCAGCTAAAAGAGCTGGACAGCAGCAAGGATGACAGGACAAGGTGCTGCTTCAGCATTAAGATCTCATTGAAACAAGTCTCAAGCATGTCTTACAGCCTTTTGGAACCAGTTACTATACATACAGGACAAGGGAAACCACATTCCCTGGCACCTTTTGAGTCAGATACACCAGTACTGCATTTATCTTGGACAGGATCCCTCAGCAGCTGAATTAAATTTGAACACAATACAAGTTGCCTACACCAAGTCAGCAGACCTACTGCTTAAACTAAAAACAGTAACACAAAGGTAACACTGTAGTTCAATCCTGCAGTCAGCACAAGCACAGTGACATGGGCTGGACATTTATTTACCTACCTTTATGCATTAGAATTGCTGCCAGGTTATTCAGCACCATGTGTTCCTCAGGGTGTTGAGTCTCCTTTGCCAGCTCAGCTGCCCTCTTCACGTAGGAGTATGCCTCATCGTAGTGCCCCTGCGCATCCAGTACAGTTGCCAAGTCATTCATCAGGACCACAGTCTGCACCAGGACGGAAAAGGAAACCTCAGAGCAAGACTTGTGTAGAAGTCTGGGGCAGCAGGATCATCACGTTCATACCCCTGTCACACTAGTAAAAGTAGTATTTCCCAGAGCAGCTTTCAGTAAGAAAGTCTCTTATATTTATATATCAGCATGCAGCATGCTCATTCTTCCTGGCAGGAAAACAGAAGCTAATTTAGTGCTGTATATATTTGATGGTAGCAAAGGTGCTTTTAAGGCTGCCTCATTCCCTAGATTAGCCTTGCTTTCCCTAGTAGTCCAACTACCATTGTACACGTCACCTGTGGATGAGTCTCTCCCTGAACATCATTTGATATCTGCAGAGCCTTCTCATACATTTTTTGGGCCACTGGGAGCTGATTAATGTTTAGGAGATAGCGAGCATAGGAGTCTAGGCTCATCCCAAGCAAGAGACGGGTGTTGGCCTTTTCTTCAGCTGCAAATAGAGAGGAGTGGAAGTGATCACTTCTACAAGATCAAGCATAAGTCTCCATCCTACAAGAGCAGGAAACTCGTGCAGTGGGAGACAGTGGATTGACACGAAGATGGTGCTTAGGCAATATGGAAAGCAACATCAAGGGCAGGGAAATGGAGAAAAGATAATGAGAGAAGCCTTTGACAGACAAGGCAGTCCCACCTGGTAAGACATCCTCAGGCAAGTCCTTTTGCTTAGCAATCTTCTCCTCTAAGGTCAGGATGCAGAACTCATAGCCAGCCAGGGCTAACTTGTGCCTGCAAAGTACAACAACTCAGCAAAGCAAGGCTCCTTCCATCCCTGAAGGGACAGATGTGAACACCTTCAATCCCTCACTCTAGAGGGCCTGTAAGACAGCTTTTCCCCTTCACCAGAACCTTCTTGCTCTCAGCACTCTCTTCTTGATTATGGCCTGGACCCTTCTCTTGACCCATGGGCAAAGGGATCCAAGAGGCACAGAGGTCCCCTCTCTCCCCTCAAAGAAGGGCAGCTAAGGCAACCCATTCTGATGCTCCATTGAAAAATGAAGCTACAAGTTACCAGCCACCAACTGCTTCAAAAACCTTCTCTCCTGTGAGGTGTGGCTTTAAGACTAAAGAGCCATGTCCTCTAAGGCTACTTCTCCCCTAAGCTGGGCAGGTCACAACAGCAATCACTGTGCTGCATGACAGTGGGTAGGCAAATATCACACCTGTGGGAACCTTTGCATTGATGGTATCTCATCACACCAAAGCTTCCTCAGGCACTCTATTCTTAAAAAGCCCCTGCTGGGCCACCACTACCACTGTGAAGCCGAGATGAAAGCAAGAGATGCCTTTAGCAGGAAACTCACTGTTTCTGAGCAGCATAGATACTGGCCAGCTTGAGGGACATCTCAAGGATTGCATTGTCATCCTGCCAGGAGGACACACAACACAACTGTTGTTACTCTTCTTGCATCTCCCCAATAGAAACATTACTTTGCCAGAGAAGAAATTTAGACCTTTAAAATGCCCATCCTGTTGTCTCCAGAGCTGCCATCCCCTTAAAGGATGTTCTTGAGAAGCCAGCAAGCTCATAGCTAGTATTGCAAATTTCCAGTAGGAGGTATTACAGCACAAGAAATACACCAAGGAATTGTTAATACTTCCAGCTGAAAGCCTTTATCAGAAGAACATACCTCCTTTGTGTCCCCTGCAAGCAAATAGCTCATACTTGCTTTGTAGAGCTTTTCTGCCTGAAATGAGAATTTTGAAGAGAATACTGAGGAATGATGGCAGTTAAAACAAAAGATCTCTACTCTTTACAGCGGCAGACTACTGGGAGAAACCCGTTTCACAATTTGTGGCATTTACATTGCACATCAAGACCCATCAGAAGTGAAAGGCTAACCAGAGCCCAAAGGTACTGCCAACTAGTAGAGTCCTTTCAGTTTCTACTTTAGCACTCCTGCACCGGCCATGAGTTTACCACATCTGTGTGCCTTCAGGGCTTTCCCAGATTCTCCTTGGGACAGCCATCTAAACGCTTAACTGTGGCATTTGACAGTAAAATGTATTCCTTCCCTTGCACGCCACGTTGGAGCTCAAAATTTAACTCTGAAAGCATCTTTCTTAGCAGCATGTGCTCCATGGCACTGCAGTCCCAAGACAAGTTATTCTGCTCTGGACTGCAGGATCTCCGCCTTGCAACATTCAGTCCGCAGCCTGTCACAGCATGCCACACCTTCATGATCTTGGGCACGACAAGACCTTGCACAAGATGTCAACTTCTTAAAATTCAGAAGGGAAACAGAGTTACTCACGTTGTCCAGCTGTCCCCGCATGAAGGCCACGTTTGCCATCTGGAAGAGACAGACAGTGCTGAAGCTCCACAAAGGCTACAGGGACTAGCCTCAACACAATTGTTTTTCCTCCTACCTTCATATTTCCGTCATATGCTCCACCATAGCCCCAGCATATGCCATGACACCCCCGCGAAGGGAACTGCAGCCCCACGGTGACTTCTAGCACGGCCCAGGCACGCCACGGGCCAGCCCCGAGCAGGAGAGCGGCCAG